AATGCTTTCAAAATTTGCATAGATAAATAGGGTCCGTATTTTCTGAATAACGGGGCATGTGTCGGCACTCTTTTAGATTGTGCTGGTCATTTTGTTTCAGTCCATCTTTAAGTTCGTAAATTTATTCCGCATTAAACGCTTTCGTCAGTAGTCGTGGCCGAGCGGTTAAGGCGATAGACTAGAAATCTATTGGGGTCTCCCCGCGCAGGTTCGAATCCTGCCGACTACGCTGTGTTACTTTTCTCGCTTCGTTCGCATTTGTGAACCTCATCCAGCGTAGTACTACGTGATTGGCTCACAAAAGCCCAATTTATTCGTAGTTCCAAAAACAAGAAAAAGGCAATGGTCCAAGATAAGTTGTGAATGTTAGCAGGTTAAATTTTAATTGCCAATTAAGTACAACAAACCGTGGAATCACGTTTTGGCACAAAATAAGCATGTCCGTTTTGAGTGAATGATTTATTACAACCCATCATTATAATATCACAAAATGGCGTTCAAACCATTACGTATCAGTTTTGTAATAAATTATAGGTAACACTGTATATACCAAAACCAACAATTTGGCAAAGCTTGGATAATGATTTCCAGAAAAGTGTTTCACTAGAACATTACTTCATCACAATTTCATCGATTAGACATTAGTCTACTTGAAGAAAAATTTGCACAAACTCTATAATATATGTGTATACAGTGTCAGCACTTACTACCACATTATGTGAACAATGAAAAAAATGATGCTAAATATATGAAGAAAATGTTTGTGTTTTACTAGAATTTGGTGTCCGTTTTTACATTCCGGCAGTAAAATCTCTAAAATGCCTAAATTTTTAAAAGAATCTTGAAGATTTATTGTTTATTAATACCGCATCTGTAATTTTGCGATATTGCACTGGGTATTTGCATTCTACCATATTAGGAAATGTGAATTCCAAATATGAAACGATTCAGTACATAAACGTTCTCGTAATAAAAGCGGACATGGCAGCCCTCAGCGTGAAGTTTGACCAAACCTCGTACAAAGAAGTTTGCCAAATCTGTTCTAAACTGTATTCTTGGGAGGAAACGATTATAAAAATAAGGTTATAATGAGGATACCACAAAGTATGCACTCAGACATGCATATTGGTCGATACTCCCACTGTACTGCCTTCATGCATATCCTCGTAATAACATTGTATTATTACATTAGCACCTGAGAAAGCAATATGATTGCACGGTAAACATTGCAGAGAATTTGCATTTCTCGACCACTTCATACTACTACTGTATACACAATCAATTTGCAACTCTTGAAATACGAACAAAACTGGGAGACAAGAATTTCTTCAGATGACAATAGACATTGGATATAATGACTCATTGCGTGATGCACTCACAAACACACAGAAACCTGCATTCAGTTTAGAAGTCCTTGAAACTTTAATATTGTACAATGTGAATACACGATATGAACAAATGATACAAACAAAAAAAATTCCAAAAATACAAGAAATCTATTCAGGATAATTTAAATTGGGGATGATATTAATCAAACAACCCTTGTGTTATGAATTACTTTTATCAAAAACCATAGCGCATAATTACATACAAAAGTCTCCAAAAAATAACAGTACAGCAGGTTCATCTAAAAAAAAATATATGTACATTGCCGATATTGTTCTCCCATTTTTTCTTAGTATAATATTGCATGTATCTAGGAGAATTACCTTTATATGCAGCTTCGGCTGCATAGCTAATATGCTGTTTGTATTTTTTCAAGGAAGTTTGCAACAAACCGTTGTTTGCTAGTACTTAGCCCAGTGGGGAACAATTGCAAGGAGACTATTTTGTTCATTCATTGTAAGAATCATAATGATAAAAAATATACAAGGTGAATTTACATAGATGTTTATAGATAATTTAAATATACAAAGATGATATTGTTGTGGAAAAAAGACATGCAAACACCCTGATGATCTCCATTCCAATATTATTATTACTCATAACAGGATTTACATAAAAACGAAATAATGTACACATATTCTCAACTGAGGGTGCTCTTCGGAAGTAACAACTTCATTGATGGCATTTTGATAGAATAAAACAAATGTCTATGCAATCCATGTCGATGTTGGCTGCATATCTTGTAAGTTCAGGAAAGAGTCCATTTTATGATCAAAATCAATCGGTCTTTCCTGTGGTTCTCTGTAACGTGTTGTCATGTTTTCTCCAAGATATTTAATAAGTTCGCACTGTTCTTCGTATCGCATTAACTTTTGTTTGTACTTCTTACGAACATAATCAGAACTCTTAGGGTTATGTGCTGGTGGAAAGTGAACAAAACAAATTAAGATTAGTTTAGGACAAGTAATGGTTTTGTTTTATGTTCACACACACACATTTATATGGTTGTAAAATTGCCCCCCCCCCC